TTATAAATCCATTTGCTTAATTAGATTGCTTTCATTTACTTAATTCGATTGTTTCTTATAGGATAGAGTTGATTAAATTTGATTGTTGCATGATCCTTAACTATAATCATGTTAGCGTATATTTTTCGTTATTGTGTTTGATTAAATCGTGTTTGCTTAATTCGCGAGAGCTTAAATCTGTTTGCTTAATTTGGATAATAGGAACATACATCACATAATACCAATTGCGCTTTTCAGTGGGTATTGTGATCAAATAGGGCCAAATCCACTTAGGGAACTGAAAATTATATTAATCAATGATAAGTTAGGAAACTGAAACATTAGATTAGCTTATTTCATAATCACTTTTTCTCAATCGAATAAAAAATCCCCTTATTTCATTCGGTTGGTAAAAATAAAGACAAGAGTCCTTATGATACGACATTCGAATATCGCTATCATAAACTACACTTTTAAACTCGTTTTTGACCCATGTGCGACAGCGGATCAAATTGACGTCGTTGTCGGGGACTCTACGTTGATTTTAGTCAATTTTAGAATTCTAGTTTAGAGTTTTGTTAGAGTTTTTTGTTTTTTGTTTTTTCTTGTTGATGTTCAGGGTAGCAGCACAGTGGTAAGTATTTCAGCCTATCGGGTAAGTTTGGATACTATTTCGATTTTCTTAGATTTTTTTCTAGAAAATCAGGAAAAAAATCGACGAACAGTACTCTTTTAGACCCTTAAAATCGCAAATTCCTTATTTTTCTATTTTTTATGATTTATTTTATGTTTTTATAGTTTCAGAAAATTCTAAAAAAAATTGTGAAATTCTTATTTGACTTAATTATATTATATTTTTTATTTTTGTATTTCTTTATTTTATTTTAATTATTTTTTATGTCTTCCAATTGTTTCTACTTAATAGGGATATTGTTGGTATTTTCGTGTTTATTGTTTCATTCTTGTTCTCTTATAATTTGTTTGATTCTGATTTTGAGTTTCATTATCATAACATGACTGAACAAAGAACCTTAAGAGAACTTGTTGCACCTGACTCACTTTTTGTTGATTTCTCTTCTTTGTCTGATTTTGATGACATTTATACTTGTGACGTTTGTACTGATACTCACTTATGTTCAGTTTGGGCTAAAATTGAAGTTGCCTTACAGGTTGATATGTCTTATGAGATTTCTAATGACAAAGTCGACGTTGCAGATTTAAATGTAGTTCATGCTTCCAAAATTCTGTCATCCATTGAGTGACCATCTGATATAGAGCTTAAGTCAATTCCTTCAAATTTTAAATATGCACTTTTACAGTTGGAAGAAGAGTTGCCTATAATAATTTTGTCTAAACTTGAATCTGAACAGGAACAAAAAGTGTTGCAGGTATTAAAGAAACATAAGAAGGCAATTGGATATACCTTGAATGACACTCGTGATATTATCCCATTTATGAGTATACATAGGATCTCACTTGAAGATAGAACAAAAGTAGTGAGGCAGCCCCTTAATTCTTTAATCTTGATATTGTGGAAAAGGAGATCACTTTCACATGCCCGTTCGACACTTTTACTTATTAAAGATCTTTCTTTGATCCTGAAATAAAAGGCAAAAGCACAAATAAAAATTTCAGGGTCAATGGACACTACCCAAGGCTACTCCATGAGAGTCCCACTTTGAAAGAAGAGACTGTAGAAACGCTCTTTTTTGGAAAGGTTGCTTATGCAATCACTTATCCGCCTTGACTCCTCGGGTGTGCTCTTTATTATCTCCCATCTCTCTTATTTTATATTTATGTTCTTCCATTGAGAACAATGTGTGACTTAAGTATGGGGGAAGAACCCTTTTACTTTATTTTTATTTCATTTAGTTTTCATTATGTTTGTCTGCTTTCTTAAATAAATAAATAAAACGCATGTCTTTTCGTTGGGTAATTTCTCTTTTCTATGGATTAAGACTTGTGGTGTGATGTGAGTGATTTGACATGCATTCTTAATATGTTAAGTAAGACTAAAATCTAAATTGTACATCACTTGTGGTAGATCATTTACCCTTGTGAGATTTTGAGACTAATATTAGATAGCACATAAAAATTCATTTTTTTCTTTCTTGTGTGTTTCACTCATATATGTTAGTCTCTAGAACTTGTATTAACTCTTTTTGAAAGTGTTTGTTTAATTGTGCATAATGAGATGATAAAGACACTTTGTTTTAATTTTATTTTTAGCCACTTAGCCAAAAATCCAATCCCTGAATAATATCATCCCTTGTTTGAAAATCTCTTGAGCATATTTATCCCTTTCCTTGTTTAAAACTCATTACAAGCTGAAAAGTTAAAAACAATGTTATCACCCTATTCAAAGAATTGAAAGAGTCTTGTTAGGAGTTGTGTGGGGGTTGAATAACTATAATTGTGATATTTTATTCAAAAGTTGGCAGAAAAAGGAAAAACTATGTAAAAACATTGTGAGAAAAAAAAGAAAAGAAGAATGTCATTACATATTTCTTCTGAAAAGAAAAAAAAATAGAATAAAGAGATAAAAGAGAAGAAAAATAGCTGAAAGTTTGTTGTTTGAAAGTGGATGAATGTAGTTCAACTCCTGCACGTTATTTCATGTCTTTTTCCTCCCTTTGTATCTTAGTCTAGTTCCCTTTAGAATTTATCTCACTCGTACCCTGGCCAAGTTACAACCCAATAAAAGTCTTTTTAATCTTTGTGTGCACGATTTCAATTGTAGATATTAGAGTCTTTTCAAACTTATAGTAGTGCTAATTTTCATGATGTGCTTTGAGTGTAAACAGTATCCTAAACACTTGAGAGTTGAGTGAATTTTATCGTGTGAGAATCTTGTTGCTTTTCATGTACTCTTTGGTGATTTATGTTTTGTATTTGCTTTGAATGTCACAAAAGAGTTACTTACTAATGTCATTTTCTTGAAGTTTAGACTTAGAATTTTACTTGCATTTTGTATCCTGAAAACTTTTGGAATCGCATGTTCTGTTTTGAATTTATAGTTTTGTTCGGAGTGCAAAAGTTCAAGTGTGGGGGAATTTGATCAGTGTATTTTGATGCACATTCTTCTACTATCGTACTTAGGCGTTTCTATAATTTATTTGATTAGTTTTACTATTTTAGTGTGTGTTTATATTTAACTATATTTCTGACCTTATTTTATTTTCGTACTTTATTTTCAGCTTAAACAATTATTTGATACATGGTCACTGTGCGGCCATAACTTGAGCTATGAGAATCGGATTGACGCGTTTTAATGGGCGTTGAAAAGATAAGAGAAAAAGCTACAAGTTTTGTGTTGAAGTTAAAAGCTGATTCGGAGTGAAAGATAGTCAAATAACTCATTAAAGTTTTAGACTTTAGAGAAAAACAAGTTTTTGGCCGATTTTTATATTTTTCGATTTGGTTGGGATGAGAACCTAATTCCTTGTTTATATATACCTAGTACCAATCGCGCTACTGTGGATCATCATTTTTACTTTTCGGCATTCACAAAATTTTAAGGCTAACATACGACTTTCATGGAGAATTAAAGTTCGCACGATTGATCTATTGTAATTGGTTTCCGCCGATACTTTGAGGTTTTATAAATTTTAGTTTAATTTTGATTTTTTTTAATTCTTCTTATAAACTCGTTTGCTTTATTCAATTGATTTCGTTTGCTGCTTATAAGATAGAGTTGATTAAATTTGATTGTTGCATGATCCTTGACTATAATCACGTTAGTATAACTTTTTTGTTATCGTGTTTGATTAAATTACGTTTGCATTTGTTTAATTCGCGAGATCTTTAATTCATTTGCTTAATTCGGATAATAGGAACATACATCATATAATACCAATTGCGTTTGTTAGTGAGTATTGTAATCAAATTGAGTCAAATCCGCTTAAGGAACTGAAAAATTATATTAATCAGTAAGTTAGAAAATTAAAATAGTATATCAGCTTATTTCATAATCACTTATTCTCAATCAAATAAAAATTCCCTTTATTTGAATCGGTTGGTAAAAATCAAGACAAGAGTCCTTGTGATACGACATTTGAGTGCCGTTACCCTAAACTACATTTTAAAATCGGTTTGGACTCATCTGTGACAGTGGACTAAGAAAAGTCATGCACCATTTTTTTTCTTCATAACCTTAGATGACCTAGGAGACGATTTCGGAGATCAAAAGATACAGTAGTAACACATGGAACAAAAATGGAAGCAAAGTAGTAACACATGTAACAAAAATGGAAGCATAGTAAAGACCACGAGATTCATTTCCAGCTCTTATCGTCTGCCTGTTGCGAATCAATAAAACATAACTCAGAGAACATAGAAATAAGTGAAATTTGATCATCGTTGATTTCCTCAACTTTAAATCCATCCACAATAGTGATACAAGAGGAATATTTAGATGGTGATAATTAAGATAAAATGAAGTATTATTGGTCATGTGACCTGAAGCACCATAATCCAAAATCCATCCAATAGGTATAATATGAAAGAAACAAAATGTAGAATTCTCATTATGAGCGATAGTAGTTGAAGAGGTGGCAAGTTGTGTTGCCTTTAAATACAGATATTTCTTATACTCATCGACTAAAAAAGTTGTTTTGAGTTTCATCATTTGACTCAATGTCTACAGAGATTTAAACAACTTTGTTCAGTAAATAGTAAAAACCGCCTATCTTTTCCTAAGTACAATAGAAATTACCTCCAACACTTTGATCATTGATGTTACTGAATTTGATCTTGCCAGCTTCCGGTGAGTTAATCTCTATCATTCATTTATTTTAAAACAATAAAAATCAATGGTTGATAAAAATCAAACCAAGTGCACCATTTTCAATGAGATACACCTTAGACAGGATTGATGAGACTGCGTGAATTATGAATTCCTAAGATCAACTCATATCAAGTTAAAAAAAAATCTTGGTAACTCATTAATTCTCTTTTCAAAACAGAATAACCCTATCAACAGCTAACAGAATTCACAACAAAAAAGGAAAGAACATAAATCTCTATACATTCGGCCTTCCCCTAAATCTCGAGCGAAGGTTGTCATACATTTGAGTAACCAACACAAGTCTTGGATCATCTTGAGGAATCTGTCGATCCTGCAATTCGACATACATAGCATTGACATCAAGGGTGTATTCCAATTGTTAGATAGCTAGATTAGATGATGCGATGGTAGGATATTCTCTTGTATTAATCAATCTATTAAAAAGTTTTGCAACATCGCTGCGGTGAATAACTCACCTTCAAACCCTGGTAGTATGCTTCCACTGCAGGCAAAGTAGGGTAGAGATTCCGGGCTCGCATCAAGTCCCATATGTAGTTAGCATTAGTATATCCTCCGGTCTATGAATTTAAAAACAACAAAATACAAACATTAACTCGTGAGGGACATGTATTAATCATCTCATATCAAGCACATAACAAGAGGGTATAATTGAAAGAGTTTGTTTACCTTTTCACCAGCTGCCCTGAGCAGGAGCTCACTTCCCATTTTGACATTCATGAAAAAGTTTCTTTCATTCATCCTTACCTACAATTGCAGATTTCAATTTGAATCATTAAACATATCAAACTAATTTCAACTTAACAAAATCGATGAAGTGTCTACAATAACTTACTAGTATATCTTGAGAAATTTGCATTCCTTTCTCAGTGTACCCGACCATTGCCCCCTCGGCAAGTGTCTGCAGTAATGTTGGTTGGTATAACATTAATCAATATGCATTTTATACAGTTTGTGATAAAAACTAGTCAATTTAACCAGGCCCTTAATTGCATTACTGGTATATGAAGAAATACAAGCATTGAACTACAAAATTTGGTATTTAATTGTACTAGAAACTACGAGAAAACTCACCACAAAAAGTTCGGCAGCATTACCCTTTCCTAAATTTATAAATTCTTCAAAATATTGAAGACCACGGTCAATTTCTCCAGCATAACAATAGCACCTGCATAATAATGGTAAATAGATTTTATAACTTAAATTTGTATATAATGGACAACAAAAACAATTGAAACAGAAGAAAGAAATGAGGATTTAGTCTAGAACCTAAATTTGTAATTAGGAACCCAAAATTACTAGTGGAAAAAGGAAAATATTACAAGTATAAACCCTGTAATCCAGAGAAAAGTTCTACAGAAAAGATATGATTCTTCCTCAGCCTAACCCTAAGGTTCTCACTAAATAAGATGCTCAAAAGATGCCTCTCTCTATCCTTCACATCCTCTTATAACGGAATTGATCACACGTCTCACCCCTCACTTTCTGCCACGTCACATTCTTTCCATCCCATTTTCCTATATTTTGATAAAGTCACTTCCACATAATGGGCTCGTGCAACCAATTAGTAAATTGTCTATTTGGGCCCACATACTCACTTTGGGGTCATACATAAATTTAGTTAAACTCATGAATTGCAACCAATAGAGAGGATTGTTTTAAAAAGTTTTAGAAAATGTGTTGCTAGCATATTGTATGACAATTATTCTTAACATAGCTAAGTATTTTCATTTTCTTTTGGTAAGTATTTCCATTAAATTTTCCATTTCTTTTGGTAAGTATTTCCATTAAATTTTCCATTTCTTTTGTAACTACACGGTTGCCTTGTTTCAACTATGAACTAGGTGGCAACATATCTGCTATAAACTATAAAAGATTGTTGGCATGACACCATACACCATTTGTTAACATTAAGGTTATATTTGAATTGATGGAACACAGCGGAACGAAACATAATGGAATGGAGCAGAATGAAATATAGATCACACTCCATTGTTTAGGTATTTTATTAATAGTATTTCATTTCATTGCATAAACTCCAAATTGAATGGAATAAAAAATGGAGGATTGGATGGAATGGAATGGATTCCATCATATTTCATTCCACTCCATCCACTATTTGCAAATCCAAACAATAGAATCACATTATTTACCACTACATTTCATTCCATCACAGACCACCAATCCAAACATACCCTAAGCGATGTTAAACCTAGTTGATCGCATGCAGAAAGCAAAAGAGAAGCAATTAATCAATGCACTAGTCATTGATGTAATTAGTGTCTAACTTAAGACAAGCATAAATTTCAGTTTCGTTAATCTACACTTACGTACTAACATAAAGCTATAGTATGATTACAGACAATCTAAACAGTACAAGAGAAATTAATAATCACTAATTAATTACCTAATCACTTGCATGACAATATAGATATCAGGAGTTTTCTTCTCCTTGCTCAGCATTTCAAGAAGTGTATCCGTCAACTGCCGAAATTAGACATCAGCCATAGAAATTTTAAAAGGCAATTTAAAACCAAAAAAGAAAAAGCATTAACTAATGTAAAAAATTATTGAACAGGCAAGGAAACAATTGATGTGTGATCAGTGATGACACCACAAACCAGAAATATAGAGCTATTGTAAGGATGTTAGAGTGAATGAGAGCATAATTTTTCAATCTGTACTCTACTTAAGCTTAACCAATCAGCAAATATGGGCTTAAGCTTAAACCTGATCAAAATTCAATAAAGGAGCAACAACTGGTCTTACAAAAAAAACACAACTCAAATCAGATAAGTGGATGTGATTCAATTAAAAAGCTAAATTGTGCTTCATCAAAAACTAAACTGACCGGAAAAGAAAACAGAAACCAGAAATTGCTCTTTTTTATTCTTTCCCCTTCTACAAATACAAAAACAAAATGATCAAATTGAAATTGAACTTTAAATTTTTAGCCCTATAGAAAAAAGGAAGTCCAACTTCTAAAATTTATGTTTTATCTTCAACAAACTAAAACTACCGTGCATGCTATAAAGGATAAACATAGAAGAGAGGTGTAGTTTGCTAATTGAGATTACTACTCCATGGAAACTATAAAGCATAAAAAATGAACAATGAGATCCTTTAATTAATATCAGTATTTGTCATTTATTTAATCTCTTTTTACTGGTCAGCAGTCAGGGCAGAGGGTAATCATAATAGGAGAACATTTAGAAGGGCTACCATTAAAAGGAAGACTGACATGTAACATTCTGGTTTAATAGGCAATAAAATCGCACCAAAAGCCCTTGCCAGTAAGCAAAAATGAAGTAGGTAAAGAATATTTAAAAGAAATGTACAATATTAACCAGTAAAGTGGATGTCTTGATTATATTTATTTTTCAATGGTGTGGTTGAACGAGTTCATGCCACCAAATAAGCAGTGCAGAATAAGAACTTTGAAGCATGCGAGAACCCAGTGTTGTCGATTGTGGAAAATAATAGTTTGATCAAATTCCTCTATACTACAGTACTATAGCTCTCTACCATAACCTCTATTTGACATCACTTGATACTAAATTGCATATCCCAAAACAATAGTGGTTCGTTAAAGTTCGGCCATGCCACTTAGATAACGACAACACTGCAAGAACCATTTAAAAATAGCATGAAAATTCAGAGACACGGCACTTCATACCTTGACATTCTTGAAGTCTGCAGCAGCATTGAATGCAGTATGATATGCTGTAAATGACCTGTTCAAGAATCCTCCACGCCTATGAACGTATTCTGCAGATGGTAAGTTATATAACTCCTCATCAGTAACACCCACCATCACATTCTCAGCATTGGCACTGTCGGTTTCTACTGAAGACCATATCTTCGACCTCTCCACAAACTCTGTAACCTTTTTCCACAGAACAATAAGTTCAAAAGTTTATTGAAAAATACACAATAATACATGTCAGATCAAGAATAGATACAGAAACTACTTTTGCTTCAAAGTCGTCCGTAAAAGGTGTTTTGTTCTTGTGTGCAACTATAAGCCCGGCATAGCAGAACTTGTTTAATCCCAGACCAGCTGCAGTCATATCACGGACAATTGCATACCTGGATCAATAATTTGAATAAAATATTTTTTTGAAAAAGATAAACACACAAAAGTAAACTTGATGAAGGTGATACGCATTTGGCAATATATAAAAAAGATAAGATGAAATAGGAAATACTCATATGTGAAGGAATGAAAGAAAAGAATCAAGTTAGAGTAAAGTACTAGATGCAGCAAAACTAATGTAAAAACAGGAATACTATAAAATTATGTTTTGAACGGAAACAAAATTATAAAAAAATGGCATATTTCCTTTGGGTTATTCTTTTATTAGCGTAAATATATAATAAAAAAGCAGCAATATAACATACACTCGGTCTATGCGCCCTTGTGCTGCACAAGCATGTAACAAGCAGATGTAGGTTTGAACATTTGGCTTTACTTCCATGGATTTCATCTCCTCCAAAATCTTCATTTTAAAGGACAATAAATGAAAGCATTATACATCTAAAGACGAGGAAGCAATAAGCACTTCTAATGCAGTATAATACTAAAAGCCTGTAGTAGATTGTAACAGGTACCTGAATAGCCTGATCAGAGTTCTTGCATTTCCCACAGGTTGAAATTAGAAAGTTGTAAAAAGTAACCTACATCATCAATATGAGACAAGTCATAGATCTTCAAAAAAAATTTAAAAAAAATGTAAAGTGGAAGTTGATAGAATGTTGACAACAAGTGTTATGTGCCTATGCCATGTTACAAAAAAAATAACTGAACAATGATTCTGCTGATCTTCTTTACTTCAAGTAGGATCTATTTCACACCGGAGTTATAAACCAATAGCCAGTAGCTATTGGTGCAGCAAAGCGAGCACAAGCGCAGCAATCCCCTTTTTATGCATATACATACAAATAAGGCTGTTACTTTTAAAATACAAAGTCTGTGCAGCCTCTTGAGGTCACATTTTTCTGATTAAAACACAAATAGATTACATTGAAAAGAGAGCCTTAACTACATAACTGGATATTACTCAAGATTATCCACATTCAACAGCTGTTGCAACAAAAAGACAGAAAAAAAAAGGTTTAACTGCCAAATACACCATCGAGACATTGGATTGAAAATAAACAATAGAGTACAATCATTTTAACCATTTCTATTTGACAATAAGAAGGAAAAAAGGGGCAGAGCTATCTAAAAAGATGTAAACTCCAAACCACATATCGGCAACCAACTGAAATTTAAACTTTCATGTAACCAGGTTAAAGTATCCAATTTATCATCACAAAACTTCAAACAATACACACCCAATAACCCATATTAACAACATAACTTCAAACAAAAAATTGAACAACCAAAAATTTATGAAGAAGAAAAAAAGTTGTACATACATCAGGAACCAAACCCGTGATTTTCATTTGGTCCTTGAAGAAGAAAGCATCATGCATTCTAGAGCCTCTCATGGTTCCCACAATAAGAGAATGAAAAGTGTCACGGGTTGGCTTCACTCCATCAAGCATCATATCATCATACACATCCCTCAGCAAAAAGACCCTACCAAATAATACAACAAACCCAAAATTATATTTAAAAATATATATAGATAAAAAAATGGGGTGTCTCGAATTAATCAAAAATAAATACTCAATTTGAACCCTGTAAAAAGAACACAAATCTATTTGGTCATCAGAATTCAGATATGATTACATGAATCTATGTTCAAGGAAATGAGGCAATTCCATCCGTAAAATAATTTGTTTACTTACGGGTTCCTCTATGGCCGGTCATCCTCTTAGACCAACATATAATAATTCATAACAGATTTCAAATTGTAACATCGGTTCTATACCTGGTTCTATTCCGGATTCATGATGGTAGCAAATAGATAAATGCATTATGTCTTCAAGAGAATCTCCTATCAAAGTTCACTACGAATCTTTGGGTACATGAGGTGGTTAGCAACTAAATCACATGTTTGACGAATAGTTGGAAGCTTGAAACCAACATTAATATCTTATTTTGGCCCCATAATTAAGAGTATGCTTGGTTTAACTTTTGGAAGAGGCATAAACAGTTCTAGAGGTGTAACATTGATTTTGGAATGATTTTTAAATGTTTGGTTCTTCTAAAGTAATATTGATTCTGTCTCCATAATTGATTCGACTTGAAGTTAAAATTTGTAGTTTTTGAATTTAAATGTGATTTTTACATTGAAATTTACTGTTCAACTCACTTCTATCTGAACATAAATCACTTTACCATCAACTCACTTTCAGTTAGAATCAATTTTACCGAATCAATTCATTCAAAATCAATTCTTTTCACCACAGAAACCAAACACACGCGGAATAGGAGCTGGCCTTACTCCTCAAAAAAATCCAAACATTACATTCAATATTTTTAAAGATATTTTAGTACCAATCAATAAATAACAATAACTTGACTGACATTTGCAATTTTTAAGTAGGAAATTTGCAATTTTCAATTTTCAGGGAAGAACTAACAACTATGTCTGTATTTTTTTTCATGAACAGGTATATTTTCAGGAACATATTATAGCCTATTTTTCTGCCCCAAACTATAAAAATTCTCTGAATCCTTCCTTGATTTAATAATAGTTGTCCCAAAATTTATCCTAAAAATGACTAATTTTACTACCATTTTATATGTTTACGACAAAATTAATAATTTGCAATTCTTAAGACTAAAAAAAAAAAAACTCAAGAGAAAGAGGAACCTTCTTTGAGCATTGAGAGAACCCAAAACAGTGTTGTATTCAGCGACATTGTTAGCGTAGTTCCTCTTGGAATACTCTTCTGAGGAAGCATTGAAGAATCGGAGCCCTGAAACCCGACACAGTAACCTATCACGCACTGCAAAACGGGTTTTACCTGAAAAAGGTGATTATAAAAAAGTGAAGTTAAAATTCTGAAATAAGTGATTGTGTATGAAATTGAAGAAGAAAAGTACCTAAGAGAGATTGAAGGAACTTCATAGTAGATTTGAGAAGAGAATAGTTTAGTTCAGTTCCTCTCTCTTCTCTTTTCTGTTTCCTCGTTAAACCCTTGCGTTTTGTTTGCTACTACTGTTTTTTTTGTTGGGCCTGTGGGTTGTTATTGGGTTTCGGCCTGATATTGGGCATGTTGATTTGGGCACTTGTGAAGTATGGAGCGTGCTATCAGCAAGGGGTTTTTTTAATTCATCTTATATATTATTAGGGCACTGTGTGAGAATATAAAAATACTTTCAGTTTTTGGAAATGTATCTTCAAATATATTCTAAGTTATTAGAATTCTGAAAATAACGGTAAAAAAATACAAAAATAGACTTTTGAAAATATTATGGAGATGCATTTCTATAAGGTTTTGGTTCTAAAACGCGTTAAGAATCTTTCTCTTTTTAAACTCTCTCAAAACCAATTAACCAAATTCAAAGATTTTTCCATCAACATCAAGTACTTCAAAGAGATCATTCAACATATTAGAAAATACTCAATTTGTAAGTTTTTTTAAAAAAAATTTGGCTTAATTGCAACTCTGGTCCCTCTATTTTGTGTTTTTTTGAGTTTTGGTCCCCCCATTTTAAAAACCACGATTTTGGTCCTTTTTTTAGGTTTCAAGATTAATATTAGTCCCCTTGTCATTTTAAGTCATATTTTTAATGAGGTGGCGCGTCGAATGCTTATGTGGCATTTCCATGTCAGTTAAAATGGTCTTTTTTATTTTAATATAATTTCATATCATTAGCTTAAATGTTTATTTCATTTTCACAAATTTAATAAAATAAAACTTAAATAAAAAAAAAACCCATTAACTTAAATATTATTTCATTTTCATTTTCATTTTCATCTTCAACTCATTTTAACCAACGAACGAACGGTGAAGCTTGGTGTTCCCCCCTTCATTCACGAACGAACGGTGAAGCTTGGTGTTCCTCCTTCACGAACGAAGCTTGGTGTTCCCCCCTTCATTCGCGAACGAACGGTAAAGCTTGGTAAAACTCGCTTCAAATCAAACCGCAACTCGCTTCCCGTCGTCTTTGAAATGGCAAACCGAAGTTAAGTATCGAGGTATGTTTCGTAACTCACCTCTGAATACAAAAACCCTAAACATGCAAATGGCGTTTGTGTTCTGTCATAGCATATGATTTGTTAATACCAACTCCCGATTTTATCTATGGTTTAATTCAGAAACTGCCGTTTGTGTTTTGTAGGCCCTCTGATACCCAAGTTGTCAGATTTAGACTACACCATAGGGGGCATTTAATTCAGAATCCAGTTTTGTTGTATGTTAATGGGCTTGTAACTGAAATGAATTGGGATTGGGATGTGGACTTGATGTCCTACATGAAAATTGAAGATTTGATCAAGAGGGAGGGGTATCGTAATATAAAGTGTTTATGGTATTGGAATCCTAATTTTTCCTTTTCTCGTGGACTTCGGCCTCTTAACAATGATAATGATGTCTTAAGGTTAATGGAGGATGTTAGAGGATTTAAGGTAGTTGATCTTTATGTTGAACACAAAGTTGAATAAATAAGTATTGAGGATGTTATTTTTGAGGAGGATAATGGTGAAAAAGGCAATGGTGAAGGAGCAAACGATGAAGTTAATGTCGAGGGAGCAAATGATGAAGTTAATGTCGAGGGAGCAAATGATGAAGTTAATGTTGACAGAGCAAATGATGAAGTTAATGTTGACGGAGCAAATGATGAAGTTAATGTTGATGGAGAAAACGATGAAGTTAATGTCGAGGGAGCAAACGATGAAGAGGTTAGTGTTGATGGAGTAGATGAAGAGGTTACTGTTGATGAAGTAGATGAAGAGGTTAGCGTTAATGTTGATGACGTAGATGACGAGAGTGAAACAGATCCAGATTATAGCATGGGTAGTGAGGATGACGAGGAAGAGGATGAAGATTTGGAAGATGAAATTGATGTGATAAGTTTAGGTGTTGATGCTAGTATAAATTGGAAGACCGTTTTACCTAATGCTATAGTAGAAAAACCTTCAAAGTTGGATGGTAATTCTGATAATGATAGTGATTCAGATGTGCTTCAAACTCCACTCGGTAATGATGCTGAAGGTGATACGACAAAGTTTCCAATCTTTAGGGAACCCACAAAATTTAAAGTAGGGATGATGTTCAAGGATAAACAACAAATCAAAGATGCCATAAAGGAGTATGCAATGAAGAACAAGAAGAATCTTGTATTCAAGAAAAATGACAAGAAGAGAATGGTTGTCAAGTGTGTAGATGGTTGTCCATTTCATATTAGGTTTAGCATGAGTACTACCAATCAATATTGGCAACTTGTTAGCTTGACTGATCGTCGTGGCTGTCATAGGACAGCCAAAAATAGACAAGCAAAAACGGATTGGTTGGGTCGCCAATTTGTGTACACCATAAGACACACTCCTGAAATAAAAACCAAAGGGCTGATTGCAGGAGCTATTAAGAAGTGAGGGGTGAAGTTGTCAAAGGACCAAGCTTATAGAGCCAAGAAAAAGGCAATGGAATTGATTCAAGGTGCTGGTCGTGAACAATTCACACATCTTAGAAGCTATGGTGAGGAGTTGTTAAAGTCAAATCCAAACTCCACTGTTAAAATTAAGTGTGCTGATTCAGATGGTGGTCCTGTCTTTGAAAGAATATATGTATGCTTAGAAGCTTGTAAGGCAGCGTTTGCAACGATGCATAGGCCTCTAATAGGACTTGATGCTTGTTTTCTTAAAGGGGACTTTGGAGGTTAGTTAATAGGTGTTGTTGGTAAGGATGGAAATAATAAGATTTATCCAATCGCTTATGCCGTAGTGGAAGCTGAAATGAAAGGCTCATGGAAATGGTTCCTTAATTTGTTATTAGAAGACTTGCAATCTATACAAGACAACAAATATGGATTTATATCAGATCAACAGAAGGTTAGTTTTACCGTGCTGCTATTTATATACAATGTTGTTATATATCGTGTTGTTATTTATATACAATGCTGCTATATACAATGTTGTTTGATATGTTGTTTGTTGTACAATACTGATATGTTAATTTGTTTGTTGTACAGTACTGATATGTTGATTTGTTTATTGTATAGTACTGATATGTTGATTTGTTTGTTGTGTTAATGTTGTTGTTTGTTGTGTTGATGCTGCTATTTGTTACAATGTTGTTGTTTGTTGTGTTGATGTTGTTGTTTGTTGTATAATACTGATACTTATATACAATGCTTAGAAGTTATATGCACTGCTGCTATTTATATACAATGTTGTTATATACAATGTTATTGCTATATACAATGTCGTTGTTATATATAATGCTTAGAAGTTATATACAATGCTGTTGTTATATACAATGTTGCTGCTATATACAATGCTTATAAGCTATATACAATGTTGTTGTTATATACAATGTTGTTGTTATATACTGATATGTGATGTTATTTCAGGGATTGGTACCGGCTATTTTTGAGACAAGCCAACATATTGAACACAGATTATGTGTTAAACACTTGTATGGCAATTGGAGAAAGAAATATCATGGGATATTTATGAAGGAGGCTTTATGGCGGGCAGCTAGAGCCACAACAATTCATGCATAGGAAAGAGCATTGAATCATATGAAAGAGCTCAATGTCAATGCTTGGAAAGACGTGATGGATGTCCCAGCTGCATGTTGGGCTCGGTCTCATTTCAAAATAGATACACAATGTGATTTGCAAGTCAACAGTATACGTGAGGCTTTTAATCGTGCAATCTTGGAGTATAGAGATACGCCGATCATTTCACTACTTGAAGAAATCAAACATTACATAACAGTGAGAATATCTTCTCAAAAGGAGAAATTAAGTAGGTACACAGGTGTTACAAGTCCTAGCATTCAAAAAGTCTTGGAAAAAACAAAGAGGGCAGCAGAAGGATGGTTTGCAACATGGCATGCAGATGATGACTTTGCTATATTCGGAGTTTCAAACGGTGTTGAGACATATGTTGTGAACTTGCTTCAATAGAAATATGGTTGTAGGAAGTGGGATTTAAGTGGAATATCATGTTGTCATGCTATTGCATACATATGGTATAACAAGAAGGAGCCCGAAGATTGTAACGCCCATTTTAATTATTTTTAGTTTCGGTGTTATTTTATCCGCTGATGTATTTGTGGGAAATTATTTGAGAACCAAGGATCATATTATTTATATATAGTGATAATAGTGTGATAATTAATAGTAATGTTAATATTATTATTAATTATTATTATTATTGTTACTAATATTAATATATGAGTAAAATATTATTATTTGGAATTTTTAAAATAAAGAAAATGTGGAAATATTATTTTTGGAATTAAGTGGAATAATAATAAGGGGATTATTTGGGATGAAGGGCATTTGTGGCATTTGGGAAAAGAGGAAGAGAAGAACACGGTTGTGAAGGAGAAGAATAAAGTAGAGAGGAAGAACGATCAAGTGAGCAAGATTGGCAAGGAAGACGTGAAGGCTGTGGATTTGTGAAGGTTCATCAACATCAGAAGCGCATTCGAGGTAAGAGGAGAGGGGGGAATTGATCGGTTGAATTGGTATTTGCATGAGTAATTGGTAGAAAGGGGAAATTCCCTAATCCCCATAGTTGATGATGAATTGATGTTGACTGTTTGTTGTCGATTCTGTTATAGTTGTTGTTTTTGGTGATAGAATTCATTGCATGTGATGTAGAGTAGTTGTTTGAGTGAATTGGGGATTTCGGTAGTTTACGATGTTAAACTGGAATTGAGTTAATTGAGTAGAACATGGGTTTGATGATGATACTGATATGAAGGTTTGATTTTGAATGTGGTTGCTGTTCTGTTAAGATTGTTGCATGTGATCGTTCGTGTGAATTGCGGGTTTCAGAGTAGAATTGTCGTTTAAGCCAGAAGTGGATTAATCGGCAGAATTTGATGTTTTATCAGATGATGTGGGATTTAGTCGGGTCGATTATAGGTAGAATATTAAACTGATGTTATC